CTGAGAGAAGAAACAAAGATTTGAGAGAGAAGAGAAAATATTTGAGAGAGAGAGCCCATGTTTTGAGTGTGAGCATTATAAGTTCTGAGTGCAAGAAGATGAAATTCTTTTCTCAAATTGAAATTATGTGCTCTTGCATTATGGCAGGATAATTCTCCCATAGTTTTCCTTATATAATAAATTGTGAACCATCTGACTGGATAATCTGGTTGAACTGTCTCTGTAAAGAACTCTCTGCAATTCCAAAACTGAATTGCATCAGTTTTGGAAATGTGTTGTTTTAAGGTGAAGCGTTGCCTGGTTCAGGTAGTAACACCGTGGTACCTGTAGACGGCTCTGCCGGCCTCCACAGCCACCCAGTCCAGGGCAAAGTCGATCTGCCTGACAAACGACGACATCCTCTTTACCACAGTGTGAGCGACGTGCAGCACCACCCTGGGATCCTCTCGCATTATCCTGGAGTCGTTCAAACAAATGTTTACAGACATTACGCGTGACAGATAGACGTGAACAGCAGATAGCTAATGAGCTGATCTCCATCCTACTCGTAGAAGTGGGCCTTGGATACGGAGAGGAAGGTGCAGTCTCTGTGGGCTCGCACGGTGAAGATGAGGGGTTCCCCTGTGAGGACAGCCAGGTGGCCCACCATCTCTCCAGGGTGGGTAACAAACAGCAGGCTCTCTTCCTCCCGGTCTATCATGCGCTGGTAGACATGGAGCAGCCCTGAGATGACGAACGCTACGCTCACGTCCTGAAAGGGCCAGAAAAAATAGGCTGTTTTATTTCCATGTTTTACCCAAAACTGGACCACAGTTATGTGGAAAAAAACAAACTTTTAGACGACTTTGTAGAAGTATTTACGATCTTTAAGCTTTTTTACCATTTTGTAAACTGCACTCAAAAACGTTTTATCTGTAAGCTATGTGATTAAGCAACATAAAGCAGCTCATAATTCTGATTCACATGCATTCTTTAATGCTCAATTCAGATTTTTTTGTGGAATCCAATTCTTGTGCGTGGTCATTCATATTTTCAAATATATGCGACCCGTATGTGATCTCCTGTGTGAACTGCATTCATACAACTTCCCATCAACATCTTTGTAGATAGATGTTTGAGCTTGGCCTATTTTTTAGTGTAGTCCTGTTTCTCTGACTGTGACTGGATGGATGTGCTCTCTTCATCCTGGACCTGCTGGAGGTTTCTTCCTGTTGAAAGGGAGTTTTCCTCTC